TTGACAAAAAAAAGTAATAATGAACTGCAACACAATAATAATTTACTATTATTATAATATCTCTCATCAAATACATTGTAAGTTGTTTGAGTACTTTAATGACGGTATTGTAACGTGTAGTGTATGTACCTACTGTCTACTTAAATGTAAACCGGTCCAGTGAACAAATTATGAATAATAATATTGTGAAGGTTTTTTTATTCACGAACAACCACAGATTGAGAAAAAAAAAATACATGACATTGTAATTATTATTTATGAAATTACTATGTGATGTGATCTTCGGATCAATTTTGAGTACAGTATAGATAATAAACAACTGACTATGTAATGTGTCTTTTTATTTGTTGTATATTGGTCCTTTTGAAGTAAGTTGAAGGGTGAAAGTTAAGTGTTGGGTAAATATGAACTAGGTTTCACCTGAATAAAACATATTTCAAATATATTAACATCGGATAGAAATAATTTGATAGTATCGACACATGTCTCGTGTGGGTGGCGATATTTACGTTGTGTAGTCCATGGGCTCCAGTATCTACCAAAGAGCAGAGCCGTGACCTCGTTCATGCATGTATGTGTATGCAATAAATAAATGGTTGCTTGTTGTACTGATTAGTTACTGGTGACCGTCTAGTGTAGGTACCACCACCCTGCCTATTTCTGTCGTGAAGCAGTAATGCATTTCGGTTTGAAGAGTAAGGCAGCCGTTTTACTTTAAAAACGGAGACCTTAGAACTCACGGTTCAAGGTAGGTGGCGGCATTAGCGTTGTTACACATCTATGGGCTCCGGTAATCACTTAACATCAAGTAGGCCGTGAGCTCGTCCACCCATTTAAGCAATAAAAAAATTTAGTAAAGCTTGTGATTCATCGTGCTCTGTCAAGATACCAGAAAGATACGGCCCACTAGATTTTAAACGATTCCTTAAGGTCATCAAACTGAAGTAAGCACTCTGCCTTTTTTAGGATATGTTCCAAGGGGAGTGCTCTGAGGAATCGTTTGAGCACCCGTGAGCATGGCGCTTGCAACAACGCCGAAAATTGCCCTTGTAGACAGACGAGCATACGGCCCACCTGATGGCGAGTGATTACCGTCGCCCATGGACTTCAGCAATGCCAGGAGCAGAGCCAAGCCGCTGCCTACCGCTAAACTCCAACTCCAATGGAACTCATCCAGATATTATTTTTGCTACGTGCCATCCGGATTTGAAATGAAATTTCCTCAATAGAATTATCTAAGCGCGTGCTTGTTAACTTCGAAAACAATAATAAAAATTAATGCCTATTATAAAATAAATGTTGAGAATGACATGACACTCTAAAAATGCAAAGGCAAAAGTCCTTATTTTAAACGTGTCACTGTATATTATTAAATGACTATCGAAGCTCAGTGCTATTACTACGAAATACCTACCTTGGGCGGAGAGCGAAATTACAATTAAACAGTAACTGATGTTACAACATGTCTTAGAACAATTAGGAATTGTAAGAAGGCAATTAATTGGAGCATTAGTTAAGATTACATCACGACAATACTAAAGTAGTAATAGTAACAATCTATTTTGATAAAACACGAGCATAGTCATCATATAAGATCATCTAGCCTCAACGTTCAACGGTAGGCAGTGGCTTGGCTCTGCCCCTCGCATTAATGACGTCCATGAGAGACGGTAACCACTCACCATCTGGTGGGCCGTGTGCTCGTCTACCTACAAGGGTAATAAAAGAAAACCGTGATCGTCATTTTAGAATATAGATTCTAGTGGTATTATTTCTTTAACGAGTGGTACTATATTAATGTAATTTATAAAAAACTAAGTAACTGCCCTAGCCCCATGATCAACAGGTTCTTGGCTCCCGATACCAAGAGATACCATTCCTTGCGGTCCTGCGTTGTTTCCTACATTGGATAGCTTGAAGTTTCAGCAGGTCGTCCCTCGCCTGGTCTTTCCAACGGTAGTTAGGATACCTGACCGGCCGTCGACCATTTGATTGTTCGGTTATTATATTTAATTTTCCTAAATATATAATCAATCTAAAAATCATTTATTCTAAAAATTTAAATACTAAAATAATAAAATGCTTTATAAATTATAGGCAACTGTGCTCCAGATTTTTTTTAAGAATGGAAGAATATATAAGATATACCTACGTAATATTTATAGATCAAAAAGCTGTTATACAAGTAGTCATTCAGATACCTACATGTACTGGTCCAAAAAAATCACAAGCAGATCTTATGCACCATTGATTTGACAATGGTGATTACAAATCTGCGTCATTTGTAGCCTTATTATCACTATAGTTTCTTAGACAAGACTATGGTAGTCCAAGAACACAGCGATATCACATCACCGCGGCATCCTTGAGATTAAATATAATAGTTGTTGACCGACTAGCTCATCACCCACCCTGATCTTAATTTTTTTTTTACCTTAGATATTACAACATAAATCGAGATCAGAGTTCGAAGCGAACTTTGTGTAGCGAGTAGCCACCATATAACATAAGATATTTGACAGAAGTCTGAAACTCGAAACCTTTCAAAATAAGCTTGCATAAAAGTTCAAAACTTGCAAAAAACAAAACATTTGGACCCTTTATTCACGAAGCAGCTGCCCTTGAGTTGTTAAGTTACTTCCGGAGGTGTTCGGGCAACTGTTAGCAAATCTCATTCCTCCTGGCTGAGCCTTTTATTCGTACACCTATCCTACTGAAACTGAAAAGGCTTCCAGGCTACCAGTAATCCTTCCTTTCAAGACATAGACATAATTAGAATTTTCATAGACATAAATAGACATATTTATTATAAATACTTGGTATGTACAAGCTTCTGAATTAAAGTCCCTATAGAGTAGCATCATTATTCTACGAAAGGCTCAAACTGCCTTTCTGAACTAAATTAATTTCAATTGTTCAATGATAGTCCTAATTTTATACAACAAAAGTAACGATATGCCGTTAATTTAGTTAAACAAACGCGCCAGAACGAGATTGACGATAGCCAATTCGCTCACCTTATTTCAAACAATGAGTGCTTCGATCACTATTATTGATCGAAGAATGAGTGCGAAAAAATGCAACCATGTTTCTAGGTAAAAAGAAGACTCAAAAACTTCTTCAAATTTCAACTACATATACCTATCTCAACGAAAGTTACTAAATATCACCTTTATTACTAAGACAAAAGAAGCTGTTTGATATGCTGATACAGTCAGAGCGACTAGCGGTGCCGGCGGCGGGTCCGATTTTTCTTCTTTTTGGAGTTTACTCCTTTAGAATCGATTTACATATATAGGCCCGGGGTATGAAAATTATGGGGACCAAAATCGTACTAGCATGTCACACGAAATGCGTTATGCGCCTGCGCCGGCAGTCCGCCACAAAGCCTCGTACTGATCGCGCGTTTCTCTCATTATTGTATTTTCATATATTTGTTAGTCGTTTGTTTTGTGTCTCGTTAATTTGTTAATAATCTGTAGTGTATCGTGTTGTCGTAATATAGAACTATTTCTCGTATTGTTTCGTTTAATTTTTTATATCCAGTAAACTCCAGTCGTGCGTCGGAGCGGACACACACACTTTTTTTTTTACCTAGCTAATCTGATAGCCTTGATGGGCTATTTCAGTGTAACCTTAACTAGAAGGTGAGCTCACGGTGCTCAAACCTGACGACGTTGCTAACACGAACCCTAACAAGAGCCGTGCTTCGCAGAATCTACCACCGGATCGGAAACGCGACCTACTGAGAAGATCCAGCGAGAAACTCCGTGGGCTGTGTCTGTGGGTTAATTTACTCGTCGATCCCTTTGTCGCAAGCGACAGGTTCGACGAGAACGATGACCGGTGCTTGAGGTACCTAAAAGCACCGTTAGTGGGTCGGGAGGATCCGAAATGACGGGTCCTTTAGAGGCCTGAGACTTTTGGCAAAATTTTTATAAGGGAACCACAACTATTATTATTATTTTACTCCTTTACATTAGTTGATAAGCATACGGCGCGCTTGGTGTTTAAGTGGTTATCGTACCGGAACTCAAAGATATTATAACGTGAACCACGTACTTTGAGACATGAGACTAAAGTCTCAATTGTAATCTTGTGTCCTATCTTTTGAAGTAAAAATTAGTACCCATCGTTTGACCCCAGCAGGTACGCTATCTACTGCTTCTAGTCGAAGTTAGATCTCGATTAATTAAATAAATAACACATTTAACATAAGCTCTGTAAAAAATTGATATCCTACAGGTTTCCAGAAATATGCCCTAACACAAGTAAATGCCGTTTAGCAATTGCATGGCACATTACTCAAATAATTCTATTGCCCATTTTCGGGTGAATTAATAGCCTGTTACAACACACTATAGAAAGAGGGTATCATGCTATTCTAGGTAAGCACCGTGCAGACATAAATATTTGACAGTATATCTTTCTATTACTTATGAGAAGTTGGCAGTAATAAAGAATTCTATGTTTAGCGTATAAATGCTCAAATATTAAGTATATAATCTATGTAAAAATGTGCTATTTGCTAACAGCAGACTTTTTGGCGGGAACGCGAGAAGTGAAGTTGTGTGATTTGTTCTATTTTGTCTATTTAGTGTTTCTTCGGGTTTAAATGTGTAATAATGGTGGTTTATTAACTGTTTAATATCTGTGAAAGTGCACAAATGTGGGAAAATGTAACAAAGCCGCTGGACGCAACTTCTCAGGATCCTCCAAAAAGTCCACTGAAAAAATCTTAGTAAATGACCACCATTTTACTAAGATTATATTTCATCCCATATCATCTCATTTCATTTAATTTCATCCCAGTTGATTAATGTCTCAAATTAATCATTTTCATTTCATTTCACTCCATATTATCGTTTTTCATAAAAATAAGAATATAAATTAAAATAAGACATGACTTAAGTCTTAGTTACCAGGTCGTAAATCACTTTAAAAAAAAACTCAGTCAACTGCCAATTGTCAACAAATGTCAATTTCAGTGCAATGTTTTGTGAAAAAGCTAACTGGCTAACAAAAAATTTCATGAAAATTAGAATATAAATTTTATCTTATTCACAATTCGTTCTGAAGCTTAATATGTACCACGCTTCGAGATCGGACGTTAGCCAGATTGACGTGTCGTAATTTTATCAGTTAGGTAGTCAAAAATATAGTACTTGGTAAGTTATCGAACTTAACTACAGAAATTACCATTTTACCAGTAAGTTATTATCTTTTTGTTCGTTTACAGTTAGACATTTCGCAAGTTATAATGTTTGCGAGTTTAAAAAGTAAAATAAAAGAGGAAACAGGAAGTGACATCAGTAAATTGACCAGTAGTTGGAGAAGTGGTGGCTTTTTAGGAAGAATATCACTCAGAGATGATTCGGTAAGATGTATAATGCACTATTGCTTAAATCGCATTAAGTTTTAAATAATAATAATAAATAAAACGAAATGTGTGCCTGACATATAATTAAGACATCTAAGTTTTATAGATTTTCATCTGCAGACCTGTTGGCCATACTCGAAGGTCGCTTTCACCTCTTCACTCAGGCATTACAAGCTAGTTGTAGTAAAATATTTCAGTCACCTCACTGAGTTGAGTGAGCTCATCCTACTCAAATCTTAGCCGAGAATTAACTTAACACATATCTGAACTGTTATTGATCACATTTGAGTAGCTGGTTTTCATACATTGCATTAGTATTTTAAATTTTAATAATGTTAAATTTTAATAATAAGTGTATAATTAATTTTATCATGTCCATCATCAGCTGCCACATTGGTCGATGAAGGTCATTAATGGTACTAAGTTCAACTCCAGTCTTTAAAATTTAATATTTTGTAGACTTCACAAAAAAGTCATCCTTGTGATGATGAAAAAATGAAAACTAAATTTTGAAACTTGTGTCTTGAATACCTCGAAACTTCAAGTCGTGTATTGAAATAATGATTTCTCATTTTTGACATAAAATCTCACTATTAACTTGTTTAATTTTTAGTCAGCAACCAGCCCCTCGAGCTCTGGCGGTCTTGGAGACTCACCGGCTGATGTAAGTTTAAAGTTTTAGTGTCTATAGTTACAATATATAAATAATAGAAAACATGTTTCAGGGCTCTATAAATATAAATCAGACATTTAAGACTATCATAAATTAAAAAAAAAAAACATGAATTACTTCAACAGCTGTATGCTACAACCATTTTCGATTAGGAAATGTTTCCTAAACACCATACATCGTGAAAATATTTTTATTTTTTTCCAATCTTGCTACAATCTTTCAAATTAAATGAAGTTAAAAAATTAAATCAAGTTAAATTTTATTTAAAAGCTATGTATATGTAGACCACCTTTAAATATATATTGAATTCTCCGACAGTGTAAAAATAATATTGTTTAAATTATTAATTTTATGTATTCAGTCCATCTCACCGCAAATGGAAACATACTTGTCGGAACGTACTGGGGGCCAGATAGACCAAGCAGCATTACAGCAACAGTATTCTGTACAGCTAGAAAATAAATTAAGAGAAAGGGATACTTATTGGGAACAAAAAATTGAAGAATTGAAGCTGTCTCTAGCAACAGTTCAAGGTAAGTAACCTTGTAATAAGCATTGTGTTATGATAAATTCTATTTTTTGTAGAGCAAGTTGTAGTTAGGAGATTATAAAAAAAAAACATTTATGGTGTATTGTTTTACAGCAATAGTTTCAAGCAAGTAATCATGAAAACAAAGTTTTTCGATTCACCATAATAGTTACGAACATGTATTTCAATAGGTGAAGAAGCAGCAGCAGCTCAAGCTGTAGCTCGTGCGGCCCAAGCCGAAGCTGTAAGGGCTGCAAACGAACGCGACTTAGCTGAAAAACATGTGAGCGAACTGCGGACACAACTAGCAGCTGCTGAAAGAGCCCAAGACAGGCTCGATGAGCTGATGGTAAGTATTATTATCAGTATATTTTAGTAATAATATTGTTTACAGCTATAGGTTATTAAAATTTTTTATTATTACTTAATGTCACTACACCATATAAATCTGAATGTACAATATAACATTTAGATAAGGCAAGGGGGAGCTATCGGCCACCCATGCGGTTACAACATTATCCTTGCCATCATCAATTTGCGCGTTAGCTGTTTAATTTCTTTTGCTTGATAAAGAGACTTTAGAACGGCAGCTGATCAACTAAACTGAAATCCGTGCAGTAGCCTTTTTAATTGGTTAAATAATAATAGAACATTGAATAATGACGTCATTATTCACGAAATCTTGAAAATACACGATGGTAATTTAAATCTATTTATCTGCTTAAATTATAATAAGGGCATTGTTCATTATGAGGTGTTACCACCAGGCAGGTCCATCGATTCTGAACTCTACTGTGAACAACTGATGAGATTAAAGCAAGAAGTTGAGAGAAAGCGGCCGGAATTAATCAACAGAAGGGGTGTGGTTTTTCATGATGATAAGACTAGACTCTCGACCTCACACATTGTTAGCCACTCAGCAAAAAAAAAGAGCTTGGCTGGGAGGTGTTAATGTATCCGCCGTATAGTCTTGACCTTGCACCTTCAGATTTCCACCATAATTAAATAAACTATATTAAAAAATGTTGTAAATTTTCTTAAAAAATGCGTTGAAACTTTTTCTTCAATCTTATATACGAATATCGGTATAGGAAGAGTTGGAGCAGTCCCGTCGCGAGTGGGCCCGCGAACGAGCGGACCTGCTCGCAGTGCGGGGCGAGAGCGAGGCACGCATGCGCGACCTCGCCGACCAACTGGCGCTGGTGCAAGCCGCGCTGCCGCCTGACCACAAGCATCACCACATGGACGACGACGGTCAGTGACTACAACTACACGATGAGTTGAGGAGGAACTCAAGTTCTTTGGGTTTTTCATCCCAAGTTTTTTCGATCTATTTATGGTTCAGGGCCTCGATTTGTACCTCGAATTAACCATCATTTGCTACATAAATTTTACTAAAGTAATTAAATACTGTCACTTATTTAATAATCATTTTAATAATAACTTGCAATTATGTCCATTCTGTTTCAAATGCTTTCAAGAAAAGACAGTACCCTCAATATCTTGATTTGTATATATTTCCGATATCCATAACCTAAGATAAAATCCAAGCCTTAACTTAAATATTTATTAAAAATGAAAAAAAAAAAATTAATAAACAGCAGGCTTAATTGTCTTGTTTTCGCATATTTGAAGAGATTTATGTCACGTTCGACAAATAAGTTGACAGTAAATAAATGCGACATGACCAAGTGAGTCTGGTCTCCTCAGCGTGGGTTTAACTTGTCAGATAAACGTGAAGTGACGCCGACCGCGTGCGCCGTGTACGACCGCGTGTGTCGCGAGCGTGCGGTACTAAAGCGACAACTGCAGGAAACTAAAATGGCGCTCGCCGACGTCAAGACATCGTGGAGCGGACAAATAGCGTCTTTGGAGACTCAGGTAACATCCCTAACTTACCTAATTAACCTATTTAATATCCAAATTCACACACAATACCTTTACTCATCCTATATGTTTTTTTTTTTGTGTGATGTAAAATGTAAATACGCATGGGTTATGGCATCTAATTTAATTAAAAAATGTAAATATTTCACGTAAGTTAATCGATGTGCGAATAAATTTACGCTGATCGATTTCCGATAACTATTGTTATGACGTTTGTTATTGAAAGTCATAAGAAGTTACAAAACAGGTGGCGCGATTGTCGCGACAAGCCGGCGAAGAAGGATCCGAGAGAAGAAGGGTTGAGATAGAGAAAAAAGAGTTGCAAGAGAAACTTTCCAGCGTCGCCGCTGATTTAGAAAAATGTAGGCAGAATTTAGCCAATAGCGAGGCGAAGGTAACCGAATACCACTTTAGTCGAATGTACATGCTTTAACGACACTTTTATTTTCAGACGAAATAAATCGTGATACAATACGTAAAGCCGTCAACCTATATATTCGGAAAACGTTGTACCTACATTCTAAGTATTGTAATTCAAAATTTTACGAATTATTTACCTTTATAATTTAATATTTTATTGCTCTATCCTGTATAATTATTTCAATTGAACTAAATAACTAACTATGCATGGATCCTCACAAAATATAATCTATGTCTGTTGTCCGCCATCTTGTGACGATTTAATGAACTAAACATTGGACAGTGTACTCCGCTTGTTAAAATTTCAAAATGCTTTAGCTAATTTTTCGTGCTTAGTTTCCTTATAAGAATCGACTCTCAGGTGGTGCGTTTGAACGGCGAAGTGCATTCGTTGGCGATGGAAGTGAAATCTCTGCGGAATTCTGCGGCGCACGTGGGCGTGAGTTCAAGCCTCTACAGCATATAGTTTAGCCAAATTGTAAAGGCAATTTCACAATGGGGACGTTGATAAGCTTTCGAAACTTAGATGCAGACAAACCTTAATAATTTTTATAGCATCATTCATTGCGACAAACCGAGACAGCAAGAGCTTTAGCCAGAAATAAAAATAAAAAATCTTTGTTTTGTAACAAAAATAAATTAAAATATTTTCCGTGGTTATGTAAAATTCATACATATAAGTTCCGATATTTTGTAAAATTCGTCATCAGCTCGATTTGACTGATACACAAAATATTATGTTGTTTGATATAAAACTAGCCGTCGTAGATCACCGATTGTAAAAATAAAATTATTTCTTCCAAATGAATTATTATTTTTTTAAATATGAATAATTTTTTTTTAAATCAATTAATAAAATCCCATAAATATTTGTTTGTTGTTGTTGCGTAAATTATGCGCCGCATGTCGTTTATTTTGAACCCTTATGACGTCACTCGTGGGGTTCAGCCGAGTTTCATAGTATTTTTTTAAATGATTCAACTGTCTGGTTCCCTATTGTGAAATATGATTAGTACTAAAGAAAATTTATTGAAATGGCTTTCAATCGTTTTGCAATCTTTGAATAAACCTAATTGAAAAATTGCAAACGCAATTATTATTGGCTGCTACCCATAGCATTTGATAGAAAGACATTAGATATCTTTACATGTTAAATGTTTGGCTGAAATATTTTTCTAATCATGACAGAGTTACAAAAACTAAAGATATACAGCGAAATGTTTAATTATTAGAATATTATAATTATTCTAGATTGTAGAAATTTACATTAACTTTTTCTGATTTTAAAATAGTTTGAGAAAGTCTCATTTTCCCGTTTAAAATCATTAAAAAATGAAAAATTTCCTCTTTAATATTTAGTACTGTAGTTGGTGTATTTTGTTGTAGCAGTAAATATATATTGTTATGCCGTAAGGCGGAAGGCGGATGTCCACTTGCTATTTTGAAAACACTTATTTTGCAATTAGTTTCAATGCTTGCTTTGATTTTGCACTTTAAACACACACCAGCAAGAGCTTAAATCAATAGTGGACATACGACTTTACTTTTTGTCTTTGTGTTGTGTTCGGATAGTGTTAAGTGTTCCTAATTTAGCTATTAGTTTGAATGCAATTTTGATTCTTAAATAACCTTGTTAAAATATTGTTTTATATAAAAATATATTTTTATTTTTTGTTTAATGTCTGTTTACTAAGCTTTAACAAATTAACTGTCATTTAAAAATATTTACATTTAAACAATAGTGCAATTCCACTAAATATTATGAATTGGTCACTTTATGCTTAGGCAAGTAATTGTGTGATGATAGTGTGCCGTTAATAAATATAACTCAGGACAATTTTAGATAAATAAAAATTTATACATAGAGAATTTACTTTTAAAACTCTTTAAGTAGTAATTTGTGGTATCATATCTGAGAATATTTTCTATGTATCAATACAATCAAGAGATAAAATACGATAATAGATTAATATAAATAAAAAATTGGGGACCAATAATCACACACGGTCGCCTGGTACTATGGGAACCAGAGACTGATATACATATTATGTACATATTACATACACCTTTTAATATATTCATAAATATCATAATAATATAAAATATTTATTAATAAGTAACATATAATAATAATAAATATTAAATACACAGAAAATGAAAAAACCTATTTGCCAGTTATATGAATTATTTCTTGATCCTGGAATCCAACCGACAACCTTAAGTAATATTTTTAATAAATTAAAATAAAAGAGCTTTATAATTAGTGCTCGTTAAGACGGATCTAACGAATTCGCGAGCTTGCAGGTTAAATATCAAGCAACCTCTATGGCTTCATCTGTAATGCGGATCACTTAATATTATTAAATTCCCAAAAGGGCCTCAAATCGGAGCCGGAAATATACACTTAAAGATTTTTTTATTGAGTTTGTAAGCAGACGAGCATGCGGCCCACATGATGGGGAGTGGTTACCGGCGCCCATGGACAGCAGCAATGTCAAGCCGCTGCCTACTACTAAAAGAGATGTGAGTTAGTACACTCAACCTGCGAATACCAAATATTAACAAAGAAATCGACTAATCGGTCACTAAACATCTAGTCGAGTCAATTATGTAGAAGTAGGTACTCGAAAATCGACTTCCAAGATGTGTTTAAAAAAAATGTTTACAAGACCGCGTTTTCGCGCTACGCTTCTCTGCACTTTACTTACATCTTATCTTTTTGTTTTATTATCGTGCACGGGCGATTGATAATAGTCTTTCACGTGACATTGTGCGATGACTAAACAAAGCCTCAACACGCTTGTTAATACAGGTGACATTTTTGTTTCGTTCGCACTGTGATAAAACTGAATATACGGTATTTATACTATCAAATAAAAATTATATTATAAATAATTAAAAAAAAAAAGGTTTGTAACATTTCTAATTCACGTTCTGTTTTATTGTTCTCTATGTTTTAAACACTTTTCGAATAAATTTAAAAAATGTTGTTTTCGAGTTTTTTTACGTTTCCTTTTCCCCGCATATTGGCTAATATTTGCTTTATTAACCACCTAACAGATTTTAGTTTGGATCGGCTTTGCATGAGTGCTAACGCATGGAAATCCATAATCTCTCGTTGATTTTCGGTGAGTGGTGTTTTAATATTAAATTTAAAACGTGTTCGTTTAAAATTACATATTTCCATATGTAAAGATTTAATTAAATGCCATAGATGAATGTTTGAACTCGTCCCTGCTATCAAAACTAAATTATTCTAACAAAGAGTTTAGTGACAATAAGGTTACGGTTAACAAATAATCTCATTAAAACAGATTTTAGTAATTCAATTATTAAAAAATATTGCTATAAACAAAAATGCTTTCCATCAGACAATTAAATGTTATTAACGCGCCAAATTTGCAAGTCGCGAAGGTAATGCGTTTTAAGGAAATGTTGTAATCGAGTGAAACTAGTCCTGGCCTGTCACATTGGTGAATGCTGGTGAATGTATCGCCGGCCGCCGATACAGTTGTCCGTGCTCTTTGTGAAATATTTACCGTATTTATTTTAGCTTCTTGCCAGTAATCTGTGGTGTCTTGACAGTGATTTGTTTTTTTATTTATTTAGATAAAAACATGGTATGTTAGAATTTTTTATTTATTCGTGTTTTAAGTTACTTGTGACAATACTAGAAAGTAATAGATTCTGTTTAGTTTTGGCATTGAGCACGTTTGTTTAATACGTAAACCCAAGTTTGAAACTTTATATCGCTTCAGTGAATATTTGTTTGAAACTGAATAATTAATATGTGACTGAGATAGCGCCTACCGTTCGATGATGATGATACGGATAATACAGTTGTTCGATTATACGTATCTCAAATACAAACATAGTTAGCATTGGGTTCCAAGTTAAAATTATTATTATTTTCCGCTGACATATATTTCTTTACACCCTGTATTTACATTGTATTAAGCGGGTCAGTTGCGTTTATACCTACTGCATATTCGTCTGTGACATAAGCTAATAAATAAACATAACTGATTACACAAACACTTCATTTCTTTTGCATGAATAAAAAATATACCTAAGCGGTCGTCAGCTGATGAATTTACTTTTATTTGAGAAGTTGTATTTTACTACTGGTGTAGATGGGAAAGCACTCGTGGCCCATCTTTAGTTATTAGTTAACAAAGCCCATAGAAGCCACTTCGCAAATGCTCCTGCCCATCTCGAGAGGTTGGATTGAAGTCCAGTGTGGACAACAGGCGGGATTACTGTTATAACCCGTTCTTCATTCTCTTACGCGCCGCGATTGCTTTGCCGTAGAAATGTCAGCCTCAGTCTCGTCTCAATTACCTTGATGTACGCAAAGTCCTGGTAACTACGCGGCGCACGTAACAAATAACATTCGTTGAAAATAATATAATTAATATTATTTTAGGAGAAGACAATGGAGTTGGAAAATCGGATAGAAGAATTGAACGAGGAAAACCGGCAGATGCACGAGTCCCTTGAGAATGAGCGTATATTAGTGAAGATACTGCAAGAGAAGGTGGATAAATCTAACAGGCTGTACGACGAGCAGAAAGCTGAAGTCAACCACCTGAACTCCGTCGTGAACGAGATGCAGCACGATTACGTAGATATGCAGAGAAAGTTCGAGAAGTAAGTGTCAGCAGTCTATTCCCACCTTTTTGGTAATGTTCTATGTTGTTATATGTATATTGTTATTATTACATGTATTTCTGCTCCGTAATTTGCATCTAATGGGTTAGTGTTTGTATCGCGTCGAAAATCGAGACAGGAATTGCTGCTGTGGTCGTTTCATGAGTGTTATTATTGGTAAAATGATTAAATACGTTTTCGTAAAAAAAAAACTTATTATTATGATGAGAAATTATCATCTAGGTACGATTTGAATTCTTCTAAAAAACTGTCTCAATTTTTTATTTGGCGGTTCCCTCGTATGAAATCTTTTAATTTTCCCTCAAAACAACTGTACTATAATAACCGGCAAACTTCTTGAGCATTTGTTGACGTAGTGGGGGTAAGTTTGCGCATGGTACACTCACGTGCAAAAACATTACTTACTCTGCGTCATAATGCTATTAAATTATTAAAATCAACATATGTATTTATTTATATATTTATTAGAACATCAACAAAACATATAGGTTAATAATTGTAATAATTTAATCTTGGGGTAAAATAGATATTCCTTCTATTAAGTCAAAACTAGAGCTGTTGCCAGGTCTTGGTTCAGTTAAAGCGAAGCTGGTATTTGTAATTTTTTTTTCGTTATCATAATCTTGACCATCATCATCATCACTGTTTTCATCACCCGAGTCGCTATCATCGTGATGAGTCGACATAGGGCTCATCGGCGTAGTTTACAACTCGGTCGATTCGGTCTTCTTTTTTGTCTATAATTAATTATTTTTTGAAGATATTCGATTCGTAGTAATCGAATGTTACTTTTTTCATTTACCAGCTTCCGATTATTTTCTGTTCTTTTTTTCCATCTGAAGCCTAGCTCTTTCATAATTCGTCGTAAGCTTCATTCCGAGCCATTAAAATTTATATCTTCTTTAAATTTTTCGAAGCCTTTCTACGGTACGGAGTTTCGCTGCTTGTTATGTAGTTATTATGATTACATCTTTTTATTACAGATTGAACGAAACTATCCATTCCGGTAACTTTCTTCTTCCCTGATCTTTTCTTACCCGGAGTCCGAAACACGGCGAGCAAGCCAGAGCCTTTAGCTTCGTTAATAATGCACCTAACAGTACTCACTGATGTTTTTGTTGCTTCCGAAGTCTGTTTTAATTTTTCCATATCATTCTTCCCCTGTTTTATAATGAAGCAATATACGTCGTACACAAATTTTCTACCCTTTCTTTTAAGTACTACACCAGTTTGTCACGGCATAGTGTATGTTTTATAAAAAATCAACAAACACTCAACAAATAGCAATGGCAACAAAGTCCACAGGCAATTATAACAAATAACTTAACGATTAATAACGATAGACTTTCCACTGTGCGCAAGCGTACTTTTGGGAGCAAGCGGAATGAGGGCGCGGTGCGGGACGCAAGGTTCGACTGATCTACCAATAACGCGCTCGATACGATTTCCCCTGCCGTCGCGCCTCACCCTCACCACCAAAGTGACCTAAAATTCGGTTCTGCGCAGTCAAGGTCATTTGCTCAAGAAGTTTGCCGATTACTATACCTATTTGTTGTAATGTGTGCCTAAATAAGACAATAATGTAGACAAACGCTGCTTATTATGAAATTGGACGTACTTTAAAATTCAAATGATACTACTAATGCCATATTTAATGTATTTTTTAAATAATGTCTTCTACGTAATATCTTAATAGGTGATCGTATACCAATTACAAAGCAAATTAAAAATATATTACCAGGGATCTTAATTAAACCTATATCATGATTCGATCTGTTTTTGTGTAATAATAATAATGATGTGTAGATATATTTTTAATAACTAAATAAAATTTAAGAATAATCGTAGTCCAAGTTCTGTGTGACTTACCGTTGAATATTAGTGCATGGTCTATGGTAACATTGTTTATTGATACCTCAAATGACGTCACATGTGGTGAAGAAGGAGAATCCACTATGTGCACGATCGTCTAAATTTCGACTAATCTGACAACAAGGCATCTATTACCAATAGTCAATCGGACTGTCGAAGTACGTCGTGTTTTCGAACAAGACAGAATTCGGCAATGGAGTTTGTTGAATAGTATATGTACTTAATATATATAATAGTATATGTACTTAATATATATAATAACCTCGGGCAGACCTTGACGTCTAATGAAATCACGAAAAATCAGACCTGCTAACATGTTACATTTTCATAATTACTGACGGCTGATAACCCCCATTCTCACGTGCTTACGGATCCCATCAGATCCAATAACCTTTGCATTAGACACCTTCAGCTCTAACACTAGGAGCAAGCTCGGGGACCCTGTAACCGTACTCGTACCGTCGTGTTCCACTCGACAAAGAGTTCGACGTGCAACCTAACCCATGCATCAGCCCGCTGAGTTTCTTCTCAGAGAGTTGTTAGGTCTCCTTCAGAGGCGCTCGGGCAGCTGTTAGCAAATCCCACTCCTCCTGACTGCGAATTTGTTCGTCCACCTGTCCTAGTGAAACTGGAAAGGCCTTAGGGCCAACAGTAATCACTCCTTCAAAAAAAACCCATGTCTATTTCTATCGCAAAGCAATCATGTGTTCTCGTTCGAGAGGTAGGGCCAGCCGTCATACGAGACAGTTGAAATTTTTAACTCGTGTCTCGATGTCTTTTACTTATTGCTTATATGGCTGGACGAGCTCACGGCCTACCTGATGTTAAGTGGTTGCTGGAGCCCATAGATCTCCAACGTAAATGCCGCCACCCATCTTGAGATATGAGTTCTAAGATCTCAGTATAGTACAACGGCTGCCCCACGCTTCAAACCGAAACGCATTACTACTTCACGGCAGAAATAGGCAGGGCGGTGGTACCTACCACCAAAAAAAAATAAAAGCATTTACGTTAGAAGATTTTCCTTCTAAGATTTAAGCTAAACTGCGTGACAATGTAGTTTTGTAATCATTTAACGTCACGTAACAGCGTCTGTTCTTCTTCTTTAAAAATATGTTAATGCAAACATAAAATGAATTAAGAACAGTCTTCGCACGCAAAAGCCCACATATTTTTAATTTCAAATTTTGCACGGTAAAAACAGCAAATGAGCGAAAAGTGTTAATCGCTTAACAAATCGAATAGTTATCTACATACATGTATTAATAAAGCAATTAAATTCATAAGGAAAACAGACCGACACCTTTGGATAATTTCTAATCATAAAACGAAATTCAGCATGCAAATGACAGTTGATGATATATTCTTACTTCAAATAAATGTGTTAATACCATTGAAAGTTCGTATACACGTGTGTGAATATAAATTGAAATTTATGTTTTGAGATATTGTCTAAAATATTTAAATTTGCAACTCTCACTGTTCCACTAACATATAAATTATATCAATCTAATTCCACGACACATGTACATAAAACATAAGTTTGTTAACAAATTTTCAAATGGATAGGTGTTATTATTACCGACAATTGAATATTTTCCGATGAAACCTTTTATAGAACCTTACCTAAAAATATAAGAAATAACATAAAATTAAATACCAAATGATATTTTTTATATCTTATACATAAATAAATAATTTTAAGTTAATAAGTTACCTCCGCTCTTGACGTTTTCCTGAAAATAGGTTTTTTTCCTACCTATTTGCTGGTAGGATAAGGGACTATTTCAGCTGCTATACCAACTACGCGAATGGGTAGGTGAGCTGGTGCGCTCAATCTGAGAACATCTACGATCTCTAGCCCTAGTAAGAGTAGTGCTTTGTTGAATCTACCCCGGATCGGAATCGCGACCCACTGAGAAGATCCGGCGTGAAACTCAGTGGCTTGTGTTTATCGGTTTGAAAATCTTAAACACGCTTGTAAACTATTACAAACTAAAGATCTTCTACCGAACGGATCCGCTTGATCTTTTTATTTATTTATTACGTACACACAACTGGATAAAAACTACACAAATTAATATTTCACGTAAATATAGAAAAAAAAACGAGTGCACTATTTAATTCATCCTTTTGGCTGTGACACAATTTGCATAATGTCGGCTGTGTTTAAGTCGTCAGATGCTGATTTTTGTTTATTAGGTACTAACGACCCGCCCTCGCTTCGCTTCGGAAACTGTAATTTATTATTGATTTCTCCCCTATTTAATGCATGCTATTATAAATATAAACCTTCCTCTTCAATCACTCTATCTATTAAAAAAAACCGCATCAAAATCCGTTGCGTAGTTTTAAAGATTTAAGCATACATAGGGACAGACAGATATAAGGACAAAGAAAGCGACTTTGTTTTATACTATGTAGTGATTTGATAGATAAATGCCATTGCAATAGTTCATAATAAAATGGCCTGATCACAAACCTACAGAGAAAAACGTGAGAAAGACGAAGCCTTGCTACGGAATGCTCACATGTCGCAGACAATAGAGATGAGCCAGTGCAACGTCAGGTACCAGGAGACCGAGATCGCTGACCTCAAAGCAAAGATAACGGAGCTGGAGGGACTTATATCTCAGCATCGAGAGGTAAACAATATCACTTTTTCATACTCTTGGTTTTATAAGCGTACTAGCTGTACCCGTCCGCTTCGCTGGGCATTTAAAATTAACATTATTATTTCTCACCCCCACAAAGATTCTCATCATTAACGCCCCCAAAACTGGTATAGGGAGCCCAACACTCATATAAATATTAGCCTATCCATTTAGTACATATATTTTCTACATGGATACCAAGTTTCAAGTCAATCGAATGCATGGTTCAGTAGTTATAACGGAACATCCGTAAAAACCACTGTAGATTTTTTTTTTTTTTTTTTTATTGCCTTTGTAGGCAGACGGGCATACGGCCCACCTGATGGTGAGTGGTTACCGTCGCCCATGGACTTCAGCAATGCCAGGGGCAGAGCCAAGCCGCTGCCTTCGTTTATATTAGTATAGATGTAAGTTTAATGATATGTAAATCATATAGTGATTTCATATTATATGTAAACCTATTTATTGTATGTCTTTTTGAAATAATTAATGTATAGTTAATAGTACACCGCAATAAATTTTCTGTAGCTTTATCTTTTTTAGAATTGCAGCGATTAATGAGGTTAGTTAGTGTTTATGTTAACCGTTATAATCGTTAAAGTAAATAAAAGCGTTCTTTTTTTTTCCAGAATCAAGCGGAATACATGTTAATAAAACAAAGTGAAGAAACACGTAAGAAAGAAATTGAAGCGTTAAACAAAAGGATACACGAACTAACAGAGAGCGAGGCTACACTAAAAAGTACTATACAAGAATTAGAAACTGAAATCTGTGATAAAAATAAGGTATGTACTCACTCCATTGCGTATAGCTAACGCGCTGCTACCACTGCGTTATTATATCGAGGGGTGAAAGGCTGTATGGTTTAAGCGACATTTCGCTTAATACGCGACATTTTTTATTTATTGCTTAGATGGGTGGACGAGCTCACAGCCCACCTGGTGTTAAGTGGTTACTGAAGCCCATAAACATCTACAACGTAAATGCGCCACCCACCTTGAGATATAAGTTCTAAGGTCTCAAGTATAGTTACAACGACTGCCCCATCCATCAAACCGAAACGCAAAAAATATTATCGTGAACAGGTTTTAAACAATGACACGTTTATTGGCAGCTCTCAGAATTGATATCGAAGAAGACCTTACAGATATATATATATATACATACTAAAGTAATTACCAAAGCCTCAAAATATCACAACCTAAAAACGGCTGTCCGTCTTCAGATATAGGGTCGAAATTTCAATTGCATCATAACGCCTATATCTAACGTATAAACCAACGTAGCACATCAAACAGTTCCGGTTAGGATATTCTTCCTGTATTATACTGCACTTGGCTTTGACCATCAATCGAATATGGACATCCTTCGAGTACTGAATATCTCTAGACCGACGTGCTGATCAAAATCTGTGATAAAACTATTTGACAAAAAACAAATCCTGCGCGTGCAACTTGGTGCACGTGAAAGAAGTGAAACTTCTTTTGCGATATGTAGTATTGTGGTTTTCTTCAATCAAATTTCTCTTGTAATAGAGAATGCTGTGCATAAGAGAAACGATCTGGCTCGCTTTGTCCTTTCCCTCTATCCACGGTCGAGTGATTCACGAGACGCTCTGTCTATTTTCTCACTCTCGCTCTTCCTAAATTGTATCCTTTCTCTCTAGCTGTAATGAATCTGTCGCGAGTTAAATTTTACTCTCAACGCGCCTAAAGAAGTTTTACTTGCACCGGCCATTTGCACCAGTGCAACTTTGTACTACACCGAGGCGCCTTCTAATGGTAGCCATACTCGTAACGATATAGGTACTTGTGCAAGCTTAGGTAACGATATACTTGTGCAAGTCTAAACTTGCACAAGTTTAGACTTGTGCAAGTTTACGTGCTTTAACAGTTTATATATGTCTTAATTCAAGCCGTAAATAACACGGTGTTTGTATTTATACAGAAAATAAAGACTTTAGACAATCGAATATCTGACATGAAGAAGACACTCCAAAGAGAACTGCAAAGTAGCAAATCCGATCTGACTTCGGCCGAAGAACAAGATATTAGCAGAAGGTTAGTATAATACAATGTGTTACTCCAATTGTCGGCTGATTGGCCACGCCCTCAGTACTGCCCCTGTTAATGTCAATGTACAAACCGGTTTATCGCAATAAGTCGTGTGCTATCTGTAGTTTGAGCTTATTCGGGCGATTTATGAAAGACAAACGCAAATACAAATTTTATTTATCTTGAATTTTAGGTACTTGAAGCACGTTGTGCTAAGGTTTCTAACCGGAAGGGAACTCGAAGCGAGACAGCTAACTCGTGCTCTCTCAGTCTTGCTCAGGCTGTCGTCGCACGAGGAGGCCCTCCTGCGCTCCGCCTTTCCTCCCCGAACGGGCCTCTCCGCCTGGTTCCCTTCGCTCACCAACACTTGATCAAGTGAGCCAACGACGCTGTTACAATAAAGCTTTAAACGGCCAGGTCCCAGGTGTTTGTAGACACGACTGATCAACTATAGTCCGGACAACGACACACGAACTTTCCTTAGGGTAGTTTAATGTAGCTATGAAGAGAACAATACACCAACGAATTAATCACTACTTATATCAATAAGGTAGAAGAGATACTTCATAAATATTAGTAATTACTATTGTGTAATATAAATGAAAAAAATATGCATGTATCCAGTCAATGTGAGCGGCACACTCACACAAATGTAAATATCAACAATCGTTGTTTGTACTATAGCTGTATAAACGCCTGTATATACGACGATGCGTCTGTGCAGATTTAAAAGAATATTTCATGCAATTAATTGTAAACCTTTATAATCGAAGTCATATGATGCACTTGAAAATGTACAGATATATTTATTTGTAGATAATAAATGTAGGCGTTACGTTTTATTTTTAAGATTTTGATAATATTAAACACAAAGCCCGACATCAGAGGCAGAAGGTCGAATCTACAATTTTTTTGTTTCTTAAAATGTATTCTTCTTTGAGCATCAACCTCTGGATAAAATATATATATCAATAAACTCTAAATAATACGTATAGGTATACACGTATGAATAACTAAGCCGTTTTTATCTATTTTTTTATTGCCTTTGCCCTTTGTAGGTAGACGAGTCTACGGGCCAGTTGATGGTGAGTGGTTACCGTCGCTCATGGACGTCAGCAATACCAGGAGCAAAGCCAAACCGCTGCCTACCAAAAGTACCAGAGTTACTCTCCGCAAGCCTCGCTTGAAAAATGAGATGTAGGGATGATCGCGAACAATTTCTCAGACCGCTATCCATGGAACATACGGTACAAAAAAATACAGAGAGAAGCAAAATCCCTTCGTAAACCCAGAGGTTTCAAAAACTTTTTTTCAGGTCAATCAATGTATTACACAAAAGTAGTGAACTACTGGTAGGGCGTCCTATTCCAGCACTGCTAGTTATCGCTTACTTCTTTCGCGAAACTGTCACGCATTCCGATTTGAACTGTAAACCGTATAAGAATACAGTCGAAATTTCGACCTCATGTTTCAGGGTACGTGAAGTTGTGATATCTACGGGAACTTGACAGCAGGTTAGCTGTAACCTCGTTTGCCCATTAATGCAATCAAAAAATTTTTAATGTAATCCGTACTTGATACGTATGTAAAATTTAAAGTTATACGGACATTTTGAAGTTGTTGTAAATTATTTTAAATGATTCCGTTACACAGCTACGAGTCAAACTAATAAATGCGCAGATAAATGTGAAATACAATTTAGAATTATGGATATTCGACCTTACTACGTCTCTTAATCTGTTGAAAACTTAATATTGTAGTAGATTTTTTTTATTGGTAAACATATTTTATTTTTGTTATTTTTACAAACCTCAATATTTCAATGTTATTCGTTGATTTTCTATAGAGGAACGTCAAAATGAGTGCGTGTTAGTTTGTGATATTATAAATTATGTGCGTACATTTTTAAATAATACTTTAAGCTATGAAAACGATCAAAGAAAAATATGGAATGTTTAAAAGATTATTTATCAATATTTTCAAACACTCTCATTCGTGGATATTTGTTAATAAAAACGAATGTTATTATTTATTTAACATAACGAATTAGAAAAATATTTTGAATCGAAACGGCCGTGGCCTAGAGATGCGACACAGTGTTGTCGGACTAAATCGTCTAATTCGCCTATAATCGGATTCGGATCTGTGTCAGCTACCAATATAATTCTAAATGATTTTTCACGACGCGTTCACTAAAGACTACCTTTTATTTGGCATCCTTTAACTGAAGCCACGTCTCGCATTCGTGTCAGGACAGAATACGTTTTAAAATACTAATATAGCGGGTACTTCGAGCCCATTTATTGAGGGGGGCGGTGGCGTTATTGTTGAGATGTCTATTAGCTTCGATTGTGGTAGGTAGCCATCATCAACACACGATATTTGACAGATGCCTGAACCTCGCTTACGACATTTTCAAGATAAGCTTGCATATATACAAATTCTGAACAAGAACATCCCTTTGTTGTTAAACCTCCCAAACCGATAATCGCCCAACACCGTTTTGATGCCTTTTGTAAATCCGTTTAAAAAAATTGGAGACATTACTTGAGACAGCCCTACAGTACCTACGCGATACCATGATAATTTACGTGTCACTTTGCATAATTAATGAAATTAAATTTGAAAATGCTACTACATACTACATAAAATCGACCAAAGATTTTTCAAATTACTTTTTTTTAGTATTGACTTGAATGATTTAAAAACTGTTTTTTAATCACTAAAGTCGTTTGGGGTTGCCAAATGCCAATATTGTGTAGTCTCAGAAATAGATTGCAAATCTTTGATAATTTATGTTGTAAATTATTAGTAATTATTGAAATCCCGCCCTGTTTTGCACAAGTTATTGCTAAATATGAGAAGACCAAGAAAACGTTGAAACTAACACTGAAGCTCTTGGTACTGTGTCACAAACCTAACCTGAAGTGCCAACAAAGCATACGTGTCAATCCTTTTTTTTGTAGCCCTTGTAGGCAGACGAGCATACGGCCCACCTGATGGCGAGTGGTTACCGTCGCCCATGGACTGCAGCAGGGGCAGAGTCAAGCCGCTGCGTACCGTAAAGTACTCTCCACAAGCCTCGTTTGAAGAACCCTACCGAATAAACGACCTATGTGCTTAGTGCGAGTTTTTTAACGTTTTCGATAGCGTAGAAGTTACCTCGAATTTGTATGCAGTTCGAATAGCGCCCTTAGCGGCAAACGTAGGAAAACTTTCCAACTCCATACAAATATGAGTTAACTTTTACGCTATCGACAACGTTACAAAACTCGCACTAAGCACACTGAAAATGAGATGAGAAAAATCCGAACTTAGGTTTTCGAAGTGAGTATTTAGCGTTTTATATAGTGCCTTTTTTATTTGTAGTTTGGAACGATAAGGCTTTTGTAGTTTGAAAGCTCTTGAGATGACAACAAGTTTTTTAAGCACTAAATGTTCCCGAATAAGATGGCAGCAATGTATCGGAGCTTTATCGATTCATTCGTATAAGTCGTTGTCAGTAAAAGTACAATCATATACATTCCATTACTTCGTATATTTGAGAATTAATAACACATTTTAATTTTTATTATAGTATTCGATTTAGACGGTTTTTTTTGTCTTCCCGCTGCATGGTTGGACAATAGGTGTATTTTTAGTTATCACTATATTTTGAAGTATTTTTGTATGCATGTACCGTTGGTTACTACATACTTAGAACAGGAGAAATATAATATTTACAATTATGTTTGTGATATTTGTCTAGTCTAATTTCCCTTTGCTTATTAGTGTTATTATAAAATTTAAACATTTGTATTAAGCCAATAAATGTTATTGTGTAATAAAATATTTTTACGATGCTTAAAAGTGCATCGATATTTTTTTTTCTCCGTATGGTGGTAACTGTACTATTTGTCAAAGAACAAGACGAGGTTTATAATTTACGGAATTTAAAAAAAAATACAAAAAAAAACGAAACTCAGAATTATTATTCTGTTGATACGATTTGTAAGTAGGCCTTTTAAATTATTTTGTAAAGTGATGCCTTATTAATATAAAAATCCAGTTCGTTATTAAAAAAAATAACACAGATAATGTTCGTTATTAGTTTAGCTGACTTAATTAAACATATGACGAGACAGTTTTTTATTGTGTAAAATTTAATATCAGTCTGCTTATTGCGAGTTTTTTAACGTTCTCGATAGCGTAAAAGTTAGCTCATATTTGTATGGAATGGGATCGTTTGCGTACGTTTGCCGCTAGGGGCAATGTTCCAACTGCATACAAAATAGAGTTAACTTTTACGCTATCGAGAACGTTAAGAAACTCGCAATAAGCACTCTGTATGTAATACAATTAAAATTCACGAATACGAAGTATACGCTTCAAAGATGTCTTGCCACGGATAAATTTCATCCCAAAGTGTGAGAAATATTCTCAATGCATCGTTCGCATATATTATTTTTTGAACAAATTACTGACGAAGGTTTTGTTACAAATTCCAGCATCGTACGAATATTATTCGACAACGCTAGAGAAATACCATAAATAATTGTAAAAAATAATATTACAAACAATAGAAAAAGTTCCCAACGAAGCACTGCCAAAAACTTTTAGGAATAAGCACAAATAGATCGTGATTTCCTGTGAAATTGATTCTGTAGTTGAAGGTATTTCGGATATAATGTAAATATACATTATGTTTATTTAAATATTAGAAACAATATATTTGTTGTTGGCAATAAACTTTTCTTAAGCCTTCACTCCCATCCTCGCAATATGCACTCCCCGGATACAAACTTTTGCGAAATGACAGGACGGGTCGCGGATGTGGTGGTGTTGCAATCTACCTCCGTGCTGATCTGAAGCATGCAATCATTGATCAGTCACCAAGCGAATATACTCAATCTGCTGAGCACCTCTTTATAGAGGTAGCTATCCAGCACACCAAGATACTTCTTGGTGTTTTTTATAGTCCTTCAAGTCACATTGATTATTTCTCATCTTTTGAAAGTATGTTAGAAAATGTATGTTCTATATATGACCATGTCTTGATCCTTGGAGACTTCAACACTTGCCTGATCAGGGATGACGCACGGTCTCAGCGATTCCTCTCTCTAGTCTCTTCTGTAAACATGCACCCTCTTCCCTTGGGGGCGACTCATCGTGCTCCTCACTCTACTCCTTCTCTTTTNACGACAGAGGCTGCGGTGCTCAATGCAGAAGCTCTGCACGCAGGTACAGGCGACGCAGGAGCAGCGAGCGCGGCGGAGTCCTCGAGAGGGCTCGGAGTGTGATTGGCCTTGAAGGCCAGAAACTCTGAGGCGAGCTGTGGGTGGCGAAGTCGGAGGAATTCCGCGAATACAGCGTCCATGATCGCTGAGTACCCAGGTGGGGCGGCCCCGGGTCTTGAAAACACTCGCCTTGCGGCGAGGCCCCAACTTCTCGGACCTGAGCGGTTCTATTGAAAACAGGTGGCAATGCGGCGCGATTACTACAGGACAAAGAAAAAGCTCAACAAAACAGAAATTACAAAAAGAAACAAAACAAATAAATACTTGCAGGAAAACACTTTGTCGGCAAATGTTCCACGGACACAAAAATAACTAAAACAAAACAAATAAAAGCTTCCAGGAAACACACTTGGTCGGCAGATGTATCACGAACACAGGCCGCGCGAACAATGGCCGGGCTAACAAAAGCCGGGCGAACAAAGACCGGGCGATCGAGTGGACAATGAGCACGTCCGCACGTGACGGGTGCCTCTATCGGAATGCGGCCTCATATGTGCTTATTGTAAACAACTATGTAACAATAACATGTAATGTCATCGTAATACTACTAAAACTTGGGTCGTCGTACATGTTTATCTTCTCGTCTGTCGTCTATCGCCACTCGCCAGTAAAATTAAAGTGAAAAACGATACTAAAACCAAAGATTTTATTTTGAAAATATATTTACACAATAGCTCAATCAGGTCGTCGCCGTCGGTCTCTGAAAGATATTTTTTTTTGTATTTCAATTTCTGATAAGTTTTATAGCTAATTTAAACCAGGTCCGTACTCAGTGTTTTTATTGTCTATATCAGGTGTGAGGCATAAAAGTAGGTATTTGTATGTTAAATCTCTGAAATGCAAAGCTTCTTTGCTAAACGTTAATTATTGAAAATTTTTATAATTATTATTACAAATTAAATGAGTTTGAATTTTAGCAATTTTTATTATTATTATTTTCATTGCTTAGATGGGTGAACGAGCTCACAGCCCACCTGGTGTTAAGTGGTTGCTGGAGCCCATAGACATCTACAACGTAAATGTGCCACCCACCTTGAGATATAAGTTCTAAGGTCTCAGTATAGTTACAACGGCTGCCCCACCCTTCAAACGGAGTCGCATCACTGCTTCACGGCAGACAGGGAGGGCGGTGGTACCTACCTGTGCGGACTCACAAGAGGTCCTGCCACCAGTAATTACGCAAATTATAATTCTATTTCAATTGTATTTTGTTTTGGAGGTATAAAGGTTAATGAGTGTTCAATAATTACTCGCTACAAGCGATGCGACAGTCTTCGTACAACACGATTGGAACATCATCAAAATGGTTTACGTTTTGATGTCTTTCAGTTTCAGTAACCACTGAAAAACAGGTCGACCAGGAGCCTTATTTTCCTCTTCCAGTAGTGGCTCCTCCTCATGTCTGAGGGTCATCCATGATCTTCATCCTCACAACGCTGTACCATCTTAACCCGTCATCGGCTACTCCAAAAGAGGCGTAGTGATAGACCTTTCATACGTGTATTTCAAAACATTAATTCAGTATTTAACATAATAATATACACATTCAGTGAGGCTAGTAATACCCCTCGACGTAACTAGCATTAGTAGAAAAAAAAAATGTTGTACGCATGATTTTTTTGGAAGAATGGTACATACAAGTCGTTGTGACCTGAAGGATAAGACCAGTCCAGTAAGAGTACGTGTAAGAGTCCAGTGCATTCGTGTTGAACGATGCACCGGTGTTCGAATTACTGGCTGATACCAATTTTACTAATGAAATAGGTACTCAACAAATAGTCACGATTGACTTCCACGGTGAAGGAATCACATCGTGTAATAAAAATGAAAACCGCAAAATTATAATTTGCGTAATTACTGGTGGTAGGACCTCTTGTGAGTCCGCACGGGTTGGTACCACCACCCCGCCTATTTCTGCCATGAAGCAGTAATGCGTTTCGGTTTGAAGGTCGGGGGCAGCCGTTGTAACTATACTGAAACTTTAGAATTTAGATTGTAGATGTCTATGGGCTCCAGTAACCACTTAATACCAGGTGAGCTCGTCCACACATCTATGCAATAAAAAATAAATAAATAAAAAACCTATGTATTAATTCACTTGCTCTATCTATTATCGGCCTACCTATTCTATCTATTATCATCTTGTCCATTAATATTGGTGCAATCACGCTTTCTTGTTGTGAGGGTCTTTTAAATGTTCAAGCCAGTCCGGCCCTGGTGAGTTTTAGTTCGATTAAAATGCAAATAGGGCGGTAAACAGTCGGTCGTCGCGACGCCACATCACCCGGCGCCGGTGTGCTATCATAAAACTGTATAATTAGTCGTGATTCTCTTGATTACTTGGAAGGCTGTATTCAACCAATCAAATCACTGCCAATAAAATTTATCAGCATACATTACTTTGTGTGATTGAGGGTTATCCGCTTAATATACAAAGTAGTGGGACTAATATCGATATTAAATTGTTATCTCGCGAAGTTATCTTTTTTCATAAAAGCTTGTTATTTTAAATGACTTGGTGATGCAGTTAGCGCTCTTGACTGTTGTGCCGAGGGCCGTGAGTTCGATTACCATATCGGGCAAACATTATCTTTGTCTGGGTGTTTATTATCTATATATTTAAACATGTTAAAGTATCTATGTCATTCTTTGGTACCAATAACACAGGGAATCCTAATTTGGGTCCAAGTGACCGTGCGTGATTTGTCCCAGTTTTAAAAGAGTTTTTAATATTTATTAGTTAAATATTAAATAGCCACGACTGTCGAGTGTGACTTTAATTAGGAATACCCATGACCACGTAAACTATACACAAAGTATTCGAAACACCCAAAATAATAAAAGGACCAAAAAAAAACACGAGATTAAACCATAAAAGTTGTTTAAATTATGTTTATAATTCGCGGAACTCTAAGAAAATATTAAATTGAAATATGTTTTTATTTCGTTACTACCCGACCCGGCAGACTTCGTAGTGCCTCAATCGATAAATAAAAGACCTAAACTTTTGTATAAAACAAACTTAAAACAAACAAAAGGAATCCGTCCGACGTCAAAGGAAAAACAAAATTGTTATTTTTATTTAATTTCGAGCATTTTCATATTTATCTACCTTTTAAACCTTCTCTGGACTTCCACAAATAATTCAAGACCAAAATTAGCCAAATCGGTCCAGCCGTTCTCGAGTTTTAACGAGAGTAACAAATAGCAATTCATTTTTATATATATAGATAGAGAGATAAATAAGTGTACAAGGATTTTTATAAAACCTTGTATTAGGGGAATACTTGCCCACGAATTGATTTGCTAAACTCAGAAATAATTCGAATACTTTCTTTTATAGACGAGAATCGGGTGGTCAGCTACCACGCTCCGCCAGCATTGATTCCATGGTGGAAGCCACAATCAACGCTCGTCACTCCGAACCCAGTCACCCGACGCTGCAGCTCCCAATCAGAGCTGACAGAGCCTTCAGTTTGGCTTCACCCGCAGTTGGGAGACGCGCGAAGACACAAAGAGGTCTCGCAGGTAAGTTGACAAGATGTATTCTTTATAGCAATCCACAATGGTTCATTGCTGGACACTATCCATTTGTGGCAGATAAGCAAGTGAATTCAGAATCGTCGCAAGGAAGTAGCTTTAATTAAATAGTAGTTTAAAAAAAAGTAACAAAATACGCTTTTATAAAAAAAGCGTGGGGTGCTTTTCAGGATATTATCAAAATAACCCTCCTACTCATATCTGTTCATAAAATATTTATAACTACTGATACCATGCACCCCACGCTTTTTTACAATAAAACCATTTTTTTCTTACACTATTTCTATTTTTTATTTTTTAGTTGGATTTTCTATAAAAGCGTATTTTGTTAGCTTTTTTAAACTATTATTTATTTTTCATTTTTTAGTTGAATTTCAATTTTTTCCATATTTTTATTTCATTTTTTTTTTAATATTGAATTGTCATCGGTCCTTAATAAGTATACCAAATTTCGAGTTAATCCGACGTTTTGAAGGGGGTCAAAATCATGTTCAAAAATTCAGTTACATACTTAACGTACATACGTCTGAAGCTAATAAAAGCGTATTAAATAAATAGGCAAAGATACAGTTAAGTATGATGTAAGTTAGGGGGGAGGGTGATGGGAGAGATGTGCTCCGCACTAAGCACTTCACTTTCTCCCCATTGCCTTTTCATGGGTTCTGTCTCATGCGAGGTTTGGACGTCGGTTGTTGAGCGACAGGAGGGTTTAGTCGGTTCGACTCCGACATGCCCCGCCCGCCATCCCCAGTGGAGGGCGGAAGTCCGGTGATTTCCTCCTGATCAAAAAAACAAAAAAAAGGTACGATGTAAGTTAATTGAATTTTCGTTTTTGTTTTTTCCTTTCAAAATTGAACTTATCTGCGAGATTTGAACACCAATACAGTCGCATCGATTGTTACGAGTAGACCGAGCGTCTTATCTTTTACGCCATGACGACTATGTTGGAAATAATAAGCAGGTTGCTTGCATGCATGCTTGTTGAAAAATCTTGATCATCAATATCATTATCATAATATATGGGATGGTTTTGCCAATTTGTATTGACAACGTCTCATACCAGATTAACAAATATATTTTAATAAGCCGCTCCATTGCTTTTTCCCCCTAAAATAAGTTCCAGAGATTTTCAGATTAGAATATTTATCCAACCCGAATTATTAATTAACTACAAACAAACTTTAAATAAGTTTTTTATTATAATCAACAACAACTCTTGAGAAAGTGAATGATGGTAAAGAAATATGAAAGCAATTGAATACCCAGGGGCTTTGATATGATAATGAGGTCGCGGCCAACGTTGCGGCTAGTTCAAGAAACAGAGCTAACATTAATAAGTACTACTGATGTACATGATTTGCAATTCAGTTTAGTTTCTTAACATTGTTGTGTCTGTACTTTTTTTTATTGCTTAGATGGTTGGACGAGCTCACAGCCCACCTGGTGCTAAGTGGTTACTGGAGCCCATAGACATCTACAACGTAAATGCGCCACCCACCTTGAGATATAAGTTCTAAGGGTCTCAGTATAGTTACAACGGCTGCCCCACCCTTCAAACCGAAACGCATTACTGCTTCACGACAGAAATAGGCAGGGTGGTGGTACCTATCCGCGCGGACTCACAAGACGTCCTACCACCAGTAAAAGTACTTTCAGTACTTCACTGAAACAAGCCTGTATTGGTTTTAGTTATGCTATTTAATCTGTGATCTAAATAGTTTTAAATATGTGGAAAAAAAAAGTGTTTTAATGTGCTTACTCCATCACGCAAAAATGGCTGAATACAGATTCTTTGTGGGTTGCGATTCAGCTCTGCTAATAGATTCAGTGGACCACCGCTCTTGCTAGGGTAAATGTGACCATATCCTCTCTAGTTGAGCCCAACGAGGTCATCCACCAATCATGACGAAACCAGAATACTAGAGACTATTAGCGGAAGGGTAGATAAAAAAAAGTGATAAAAATTTCGTGATTTCGCGTCACCGGTTTTTTTTTCCCATGTATGCAGACGATCACACGGCCCACCTGATGGTGAGTGGTTACCGTCACTCATGGACGTCAGCAATGCAAGGGGCAGAGCCAAGCCGCTGCCTACCGTTTAATACTCTCCACAAGCCTCGTTTGAAGAAGGACATGTAATAGCAGTAAGTTAAGCTGCGTTCGCGCACTTAAAAAAATTCTATTGTTTTTATCTGTGCATTGTTCCAATTGTGCTCTCGGTAATGGTGAATTGTATTGATCGATTTTAGAATCACGATGCAATATAATAGTAGTGAGCACTTTTGTGTGTTTAGAAAAATGAATGTCAAAAACAAAGAATAACATATTTGATATTTATTAACGAATATTTTTATTGATTTAACATTGTCTATACTAATATATATAAATATTATAAAGAGGAAAGATTTGTTTGTTTGTTTGTATTGATTAGGCTCCGAAACTACTGGACCGATTTGAAAAATTCTTTCACTATTTGGAAGCTACACTATTCCCGAGTGACATAGGCTATAATCTTTTTTTTAAATATCAAATTATTATTTGCATTTTAAGTACTTTTACGTAGTATATAAGTACATAAATATAGCGTTGAATTACGAAGATTCAACATAGTCCTAATCTACTTTAGGTGGTTACCGAAAATTCAGAATTTGTTAGGATCAAGAAAATTATATACAGACCCCTGACCGAGGAACCTTTATTAATATGGAATAAAATATGCTTAAGGGTCGTAATGGGCGTACACAAAGCTTATTAAAGCTTCAAGAAAGTTAAGGAAGATCTGAGGATTTTCTTCGAGGTACATGAATGTTCCATCCGAAGGTACTACGATATTATGTATTGCTTAGACGGGTCGACGATTACACGGTCCGCCTGGTGTTAAGTGGTTAGTGGAGCCTATAAACATCAAAAACATAAGCCCTGCCATCTACCTTGAGATATGAGTTCTAAGTCCCACTTTACAGTACTCCAAGCCGAAACGCATTTTTACCTACGATGCCTACTCATACGAGCTCACAATACCCCCTACGAACGATAAAACCCACTCCATGCTCATAGTAAATCTGGTATCAAATATCGAAGCATATAGACATCATTACGTGAACTCTGCCACCTTGGGACAGTCAACCCTTCGAACGTGATATCGAATTATAGGTATACAGTTGTCTCATGTTCAAAGCAGGTCACTTACAGGTACACATTACTGGTGGTAGGACCTCTTGTGAGTCCGCACGGGTAGGTACCACCTCCCTGCCTATTTCTGCCGTGAAGCAGTGATTCATTTCGGCTTGAAGGGTGGGGCAGCCGTTGTAACTATACTGAGACCTTAGAACGTATATCTCAAGGTGGGTGGCGCATTTACGTTGTAGATGTCTATGAGCTCCAGTAACCACTTAACACCAGGTGGGCTGTGAGCTCGTCCACTCATTTAGGCATTAAAAAAATTTTCAATTCGGGTCACCCGATCGATGACTCTTTATTGAAAAGTTTCTAACAGTAACGCGGAAATCGGAAACCGTAAGTCTTAACACAAAAACAACTACATTCCAATTTGCAAGTTCTGTAAAGTAAGATTTACTATCGTTAAAAGCGTTTGCGTGCTTTAAGCACATTAGCGACCTTTATGGGGCGCTACTTGTGTCAATTTATGTTTTAGATAGCGCCTAACTTAGTTGCAACTCAGATACCAAATGAATTATTGCTATTTGATACTATAAGGGTTTTATACTCAAGATTTGACATCTATCATCGTGGCCTAAAGGTTGAGACACCGATTGCATTTGTATCAATTTGTTTTAATTTATTACTAAGTATTATAACTCATTTAAGTAGGAATAATATATATTTAGGAAATATGCTGTTGAGGGAGTGCATATAGAGTCCCTTCTTTATTTGGCCTGGTCGTGTTTTATGTAATTAACACCACAGTTGGAACAATATAAATTTTATTGTTGTAGCGGCATAAAGTAATTACATTAAATTAGTCATTTAACACATTATAAATTATTTTTATGTTTTTCATATTTGGCGGTAAAAAAGCTGGTGTCACAGACTATATCCTTTTTTCCCACATCTCGTGCGTTCCGGCTTACGCATAATAAAACGCCACACTGTCATCGGGTCGTTGTTACGGTTTGAATTCCAATATGGGAAATACTTATTTATTCCACACGCACGCTAAAGTTGTATACATTGACAATCAACCGGTTTTTATATCTTAAGACCTTTAAAACCATAGAAAGCAATTAATAGTAACTTTTTATCTCTCCGTCTCACATCTATCTATCCCTATCTTTTTTTTTTCTTCATTAGGGATGTGGCGCGTTGCTAGTGATGTGAAAAATGATTCACCACATCGTTTAATAAAAAACAAACAGGCAGAAATTATAATTTGTTTATTGCTGTACAATTAAGATCAACTGTTACGGTGGTTAGTGACCTTCGCGTTTTGATGTCAGTGGGCTCTTCCTTTATTCGCGGTTGGCACTTAAGCTTGTAGAGATAAGAGCTACATTTCTCGAGCTACATTTCAATTACTTTCATATGAACTTATTCCAAATGTAATAAGGACTACAAGATGTGCCTTTATATCGTATATTTATATTGTTTTATTTTGAAAGTAATTTATTCGAGTTTTGTATTGATTACGCTTATGTGATTACTGTATATAATTAAAACATAACTGGTGGTAGGACCTCTTGTGAGTCCGCACGGGTAGATACCACCACCCCGCCTATTTCTACCGTAATGCGTTTCGGTTTGAAGGGTGGGGCAGCCGTTGTAACTATACTGAGACCTTAGAACTTATATCTCAAGGTGGGTGGCGCATTTACGTCGTGGATGTCTATGGGTTCCAGTAACCACTTAACATTAGGTGAGCTGTGAGCTCGTCCACCCACCTAAGCCATTAAAAAAAAAAAAAAACATCACCTGCTCTATTTTCGTGAGTGTCGTTACCAAAGAAGCCAAATGCGATCGCCAAACGACATGTACTATCGGTAAGGCCCCTGGACCACATAAACCCGCATGGGTAGGCACCACTCTCCTATTTCTGCCGCGAAGTAGTCATGTGTTCCGGTTTGAAGAGTTGACGACCGTAATACAACATCATTGAAACTTTTTACTACTACTCGACAACTTCTAACTACTACTGTTCTTACCATTAATCTATTTTAAACAAAGTTACAATAGGTAACTTGTATATACCCTTCAAATCGCACATAATCTAGGACCGAAAATACCAAACTGGATCGCAGGCCCTTTTAAAATTGTAATAATATTCAGAAGACAATAATCTAATAACGCGTCGATACTCTCACAGTTTCGATCTTGCGGTGTTAGTTTAATAACAAGTCAAACCACCGAACATAACTGTTCAAACTGGTTGGAGCTAATGAACAGCCTCGGCGTCTTGTGAGGAAATAAATACCACATAATAATATCTGCAATGCGTTAAAAACCTTAGACGTATCTCGCCTCAGCGATGCCTTGCGTGTCTCTGATTGAAGGTCACAAAAATCTTCGAGGACATCGGATATCTACGGATTTCAATTAATAAATCTGTATATTTCGAAGCGTTTTATCCACTTATCTGACATTTGGGAGCCTCTTATCGTAATGAAGAAACCCCAGGTCAAACCCGCAGCCAGGCCTGTCAAGTCAAGATGTTATCTTTCTGTGAGCAAACGTGAATACCAATAATTATTAAAAAAGACAATGTATAGACAGTAATTTTTTTTTTTTTTTATCATTTTAGTCATAACTTTAACTTAGTCATTAGTGATGTGTTACTACGTTGTATAGGCAAACTCGAATTATAGGTCTTAGATGCGTCGCAATAATGACTATCCCATCATTCAAACTGAACAAATTCAAATAATGATTTTTATCAACACCAAAGCAATCAAATATTAAGGTGAACGAGACACTTCGCCTTTTAAACCTACTACGTTCCGTGATTGATAAACCTTGAAAGGGTGTTGGCTGTCTTTATGTTCGGAGAAAATCTCATTGTAGATTCATGCCTTCCTTAAATATAAGACCGCCTATTGTACAAATATATATGCTTCTTCACTGTTTTTTTTTCCTACCTAAGCTGATAGATAGCCTTGAGAGGCTATTTTAGCGTAACCTTAACTAGAAGGTGAGCTCACGGGGCTCAAACCGGAGTGATGCTAACACTGACCCTAAGGTAGCAAGAGCAGTGCTTCGCAGAATCTATTACCGGATCGGAAACGCGACCCACTGAGAAGTTCCGGCGAGAAACTCAGTGGGCTGTGTCTATGGGTTAATTCACTCGTCGAGCCCTTCGTCGCAAGCGACGGGTTCGGCGAGGACGGTGACCGGTGCTTGAGTTACCTAAAGGACCGTTAATGGATCGGGAGTATCCGTAATAACGTGCTTAGGGAAAGATGCGTCAATGTCACTTACGGGTTCTAGAAAATCCTCTACCTGACATTCAAGAGTGAACGACTAATCTCACATTCACAGTAACTGAAATTCATTAATATCGATAGAAAATCAAATGCAAATATTATCACAACAGAATCGCAGGACCGTTCGGATATCGTAAAAGTTAAGTTACAAATTTTAAAAGATTTTATTATTCAGCCTATCCCATTCGGGTCTGTGATGGTTTTAGAAATCAGTATGTACACGATTTATACATATTTTGACATTCAACAATAATACAATTGTAATCGTAATTTTGATTTGAAATAATTTGCGTAACCTCACAGTTGATCATGTTCATTTTTAAGTTTAGATAATTACAACTATAATTGTAAGAGACCTCTGCTTCTTGAAGTTACTGATTTCTACTTCGTCGTCAGTTTCTCTGATCCAGCCCTTGCCAGCCACCCTTTCACTGGTGGTAGGACCTCTTGGGAGTCCGCACGGGTACCACCACACCGCCTATTTCCGCCGTGAAGCAGTAATGCGTTTCGGTTCGAAAGGTGGGGTAGCCGTTGTAATTATACTGAGACCTTACAACTCATATCTCGAGGTTGGTGGCGCATTTACGTTGTAGATGCCTATGGGCTCCAGAAACCACTTTTTTTTTTTATTGCCTTTGTAGGCAGACGAGCTTACGGCCCACCTGATGGTGAGTGGTTACCGTCGCCCATGGACTTCAGCAATGCCAAGGGCAGAGCCAAGCCGCTGCCTACCGCAACCACCAGGTGGGTTGTGAACTCGTCCATCCATCTAAGCATCTACCATACCATACCATCTACCATAACACCAGGTGGGCTGTGAACTCGTCCATCCATCTAAGCAATCAAAAAAATATAAAAAAAAACATAGATCTTCATTCCACCGAGCCTGAGAGCGTCCTGCAATTTTGCAAATTCACGGACTCCACTCAAGCACACATTTACTTCAGCGTTTGTCGGTCTGCCCCTAAACACGCGGAAATTATCTTTAATTTGTATACAGAAAAACAAAAACGCAATTTATAATTATTAGTACTTAATATTAGAAGTAATTAAGGATACAAGTGGTCCCCTGGTAGTCGAAATTCGACTATAACTAATGGAAATTATAAGTTTGTACACTATTATGATTCTATTTTCAAGGACTATTACACTTCTTTAATCACAGATTTCGTCAAGACTACACTTTAGACAAATATTAATAAAGAGAAAACAATATTTAATCTATTCTCAATTTGACAGACTATAACTGACAGACTGCAAACAAAAGTTTGACAATAAACAAATAGTATGCATGCGTGTGTGTGTCAAATACATGGTAGAG